CCCAAACTGGGGGTAAATTACCCCCTGGGGGTAATATAACCATTTTTGGGGGGTAATGGAGGGGTGACAGAAAAAAAGTTATAAATTCTGAAAATCCAGAAAACAATGCGGTACCCGGTATGAGGATTATTGTTAACTTTGTCTTAGTATATAAAGTTGTAAAGTAAACCTATTATAAGTAAGTAATAAAGTTAAACCAAATAACAATAAACATCAAAAACTAATATACAGTATTAGAAAAGAAGAAATATATAGCTAAGTGTGTGGAAACCCAAAAGTATTTGACAAGTATGCTTCAGGACAAAAGTCACTCAGTAGCCCAGATCGACCTGTCCAGTACGCGTCACTCACTTCCTGAGGCTGCCTCTATTTCACACTGTCAGTTTATCTGTGAGCATCAGCCGAGGTAGACATAAGCTGGTATGTATGTGTACTGCCCTGTGCAGTATATAGTTAGTATTTACCCACTGTTACTGTGAATTTGTAGCTATTATTAATTTTATATATAATGTATGTGTGGTTCTTACGTTTTCAATGGTTTTGCTAGGATTAGCAGAGTATGCGAGGCTGTATACGTTCACGTTTAGCCATATATATCAATAATAACAACATTTTGTGAAAGGGGTAACATGCTTTATGTGGCATGTTAAATTGGGTAACAAGCTGAAAAAGTTTGGGAACCACTGGTCTAGGGAAAGCAAGTCTTAGAATCAACACTTTCTCCTGGGGAAAGTTAGTCTGAGAAAGTCAACACAACTACATGTCCTGCCTCTCTACTTCTACTCAACTTTTTATTTAAAAAAACACTATTGTGAAGGACCTGGGAGTGATAATGTCAGAGGATCTTACCCTCAAAAAAACCATACCCCCGGCCGGGATTGAACCCGCAGTCATAGAGTCTCAAAACTCCAGACCGTCGTGTTAGCCACTAGACCAGCTAGCCACAATAAGATTCATCCAACTAGGTATATTTCTACACCATAGGAAGGTTAGAGTAGGCACCTCTGTGACCACAAATGCTAACGCGACGGGCTGGAGTTTTGAGACTCTATGTCCGCGGGTTCAATCCCGGCCGGGGGTATGGTTTATTTGCAATCGTGTCATTACGATTTCTTAAGTCATGTTGACGGCAGTGAAGGGACTTGAGCTAGAGTTCGTCACGGCCACGCTAGCTGGAGATTCGTCTGTAAAAACTTGCATTTGTGGTCACAGTGGTGCCTGTGCTAACCTTCCTATGGTGTAGAAATATACCTAGTTGGATGAATCTTATTGTGGCTAGCTGATCTAGTGGCTAACGCGACGGGCTGGAGTTTTGAGACTCTATGACCGCGGGTTCAATCCCGGCCGGGGGTATGGTTTATTTGCAATCGTGTCATTACGATTTCTTAAGTCATCTCACCCTCAAGTATCACAATGTAAAGTCCCATGATTTGTATTCACTGGAATGCAGGCGAGAGAGATACATTATAATATACACCTAAAAAGTCCTAGAGGGATTAGTACCAAACTTGTACACGAAAATCACTCCCTATGATAGCAAGAGACTGGGCAGGAGATGCAACATTCCCCCAGTGATAAGCAGTGGTGCCACGAGTACACTGAGAGACAACACAATAAGTGTTAGGGGCCCACGACAGGGTTCATTCATCTGACTCCCAGCATACATAACGGGGATTACCAATTGACCCCTGGTTGTCTTCAAGACCCCTGGTGGTTTTCAAGACCCCTGGTTGTCTTCAAGACCCCTGGCTGTCTTCAAGACCCCTGGCTGTCTCCAAGAGGGAGCTGGACAGACAAAGTCAGTACCTGACCAGCCAGGCAGTGGGTTCCTACGCTGGTTTTAACGTGTATCCGAGCATAACAACCCGAAGATTAGTCCATGATCCACCACCAGGCCTGTCATTGCACAGTGCCAACGGGGCGCTGACCCTCAGAACAGACCCAACAATATAAAATCCTAGTTAAAAGTTTGAAAGTAAACTGGGTATGTAGAGGGATACCTCTATTCCTTCAAAGTTAACTATTGTGGAGAAAAAGGAACATTAAACTTAACGTAATGAGGAGATAACTAAAACAGGTGTTAGTTCAATGGAAATACAAGGACTCCCAGTGGAAGTACAAGGACCCCAGTGGAAATATAAGGACCCCAGTGGAAATACAAGGACCCCAGTGGAAATATAAGGACCCCAGTGGAAATACAAGGACTCCCAGTGGAAATACAAGGACTCCCAGTGAAAATCCACGGACCCCGGTGGAAATATAGGACCCCAGTGGAAATACAAGGACTGTCCGGTGGAAATTCAAGGACCCTCCAATGGAAATACAAGGACCCCAGTGGAAATACAAGGACCCCAGTGGAAATATAAGGACCCCAGTGGAAATACAAGGACTCCCAGTGGAAATACAAGGACTCCCAGTGGAAATACAAGGACCCCAGTGGAAATATAAGGAACCCAGTGGAAATACAAGGACTCCGGTGGAAATTCAAGGACCTCCAATGGAAATACAAGGACCCCAGTGGAAATACAAGGACCCCAGTGGAAATATAAGGACCCCAGTGAATGCAAGGACTGTCCCAGTGAAATAAGTTCACTGTCTGACTTTTTTGGGATATCTGTAATTATTAGGTACCGGTAATACACATATACAGTTAATATAATTATCATACATAGCAGAAGTGTTGTAGATTACTCAGTATAAACCAAGAAGTTCCAAAACTTATTTTCCATTTGGTCCATAGATAATTTACACTCATATATGTTACCTTATATACATATATATATATATATATTTTATATATATATATATAGTATATATATATATATATATATATATATATATATATATATAAATATATCACAGTTTCGCCCATCACAGTGGACTTATCAATGTTTTGCCCACACAGTCCGACTTTATCAATGTTTTCGTCGCCCCACAACAGTGGACTTTATCAGTCCACAAACAGATGACCCTGGGTGAAAGTAGGTGAGTATTGTTATAGGGATAGTCCTGGTGGAGAATACTTGCATGTAGACAACTTCCGAGTAGGGTGATGGAGGCTACGATTCTTGGTACCCTTAAAATCAGAATGATGAATGTATGTAATAGACTTCCTAACACAAAGTTGATCAATGATTTTGAAAACCGACAAGTTGAAGATTGAGATACTTATGCAACATATGGGAATTTTATACCCTCCTTACACCTTCCTGCTTTGTATTAGACTGATAAAGTCCTGTGGTGAGAAAACGTTTCCACAATAAAAAAACCCATATGTATGCTTAAGTGTCTCAATTCTTCATTATGTTTTCCTGTGCCTAGAGTTACTTGTGATGAATTTTGGTAAGTTAGAGGTTATTAAAGGCTGAGAAAACCTTACACGCAATAGACCAGGGTTCCCAAACTTTTCAGCTTGTTACCCAATTTAAAAGCAGACAAAAGCATGTTACCACCCCTTTCACAAAATGATTGTGATTATTGATATATAGGCTAAATTAAAACACTTGAGATTTTTCTTTTATTTATTTATTTGAACATTTGCATCTCTAATGACTATTAACCAAAGATGTCAAGAACATCCATGGGGGATGAAATGATGTTTAATACTTGAAGGCTAGTTTAGGAATTCATGGCTTCAACCAGCTTATGTCTACCTCGCTGATGCTCACAGAATATAAACTGACAGTGTGAATAGAGGCAGCCTCAGGAAGTGAGTGACGCGTACTGGACAGGTCGATCTGGGCGTACTGAGTGACTTTTGTCCGAAGCATACTTTGTCAAAATACTTTGTTGTCCCACACACCATAGCTATATATTTTTCTTTTCTAATACTGTATTTAGTTTTTTTGATGTTTATTTGTTATTTTGTTTTTAACTTTATTACTTACTTAAATAAGTTTACTTTACAACTTTATATACTAAGACAAAGTTAACAATAATTCCTCATACCGGGTAAACACGCAATGTTTTCCATGATTTTTCAGAATTCATAACTTTTTTTCTGTCACCGGGGGCCCCATTACCCCCCCAAAAAAGTTAAATTAAACCCCGAGGGGGTAATTTAAACCCCCCCAGTTTGGGACCACATGCAAAAGACATAGCAAGTTAGGAATAATCAATTTTTCTGACTTTTTGGGAGATTTCCATACATAATTTTACACTATATCTGCTACCAGTACATGTGTCCATATACGGGGGCACCTAGAAGTTTACTTGTAATGGATTTTGTTTAGTTAAGTTATTAAAGGCGGAGAAAACCATATAGAATAGGCTAACCAAAGACAGCACAGTCTTTTTTTTTTTTTACTTTTTTGGGTTATTGAGGATAATTTAGACCACATATGCTATTTCTAAATATGTCCCCCTATACCTAGATTAACATGTGATTAATTTTGTTAAGTTAGAGGTTATTGAAAACCAAGAAAACCATATAAAATAGATTGCCCAAGACAGGAACAATCACTTTTTCTGACTTTCTGGGGAATATCCTAGATAATTTACACTATGTATGGTACCAGTACATGTGTTTATACAGCTAGAATACTACGTGACAGGTGTTTTTTAAGTTAGAGGTTATTAAAACCCCCGAAAACCAGGTAGAACAGAAAACCCAAAACAGGAGCAATCACTTTTTTTAATTTTTTAGGGAATATTCTAGATAATTTAGAGTACACAAGCTACCAGTACATCTCCCCCTATACCTAGAATACCACATAACAGGTTTTGCTAAGTTAGAGGTTTATTAAACCCCAGAAAAGGAGGTAGAACAGAAAACCCAAGACTGGAACAATCACTTTTCTAACATTTTAGGGAATATTGTAGATAGTTTAGAGTACACAAGCTATCAGTACATGCATATATAAAGCGAGAGTACGGGGGGGGGGGGGGGGGGGGGGGGGGGGGGGGGGGGCGACATGGACAGGTTTTGTATTAAGTTAGAGTTATTAAACCCCAGAAAAATGAGGTAGAAAACAGAAAACGTTAAGAGAAGCAGCGTTGCTAACGGTGGGAGGGTTGATGTGACCTCCAGGAACCATGATCCAGAGAGAGGTGGGGCGGGTTATACTTCTACCAGTTATATCTCAAATATTAGTGTCTTGTGTGTGACCTGACTCTCCCTGGCCATGGATCAAGAGCCCCGCTAGCTGCCACGCTACTTGGATAATGACGTCGAGGTGTGCAAGAGGTAGGAAATGTGGAATATTATGAGGGGGGTGAGTTGTTTGTAGTTCCCTTGTGTAGCAACGCCATGTTATCCAATATGGTATTAAATGGTGGCGCTACCATGATGGTAGTGGCGCTACCATGATGGTAGTGGTGCTTACTGTGGGGTTAGTGGCGCTACCATGATGGTAGTGGTGCTACCATGATGGTAGTGGTGCTTACTGTGGGGTTAGTGTGGCGCTTACCAATGAAGGTAGTGGCGCTACCATGATGGTAGTGGTGCTTACTGTGGGGTTAGTGGCGCTACCATGATGGTAGTGGTGCTACCATGATGGTAGTGGTGCTTACTGTGGGGTTAGTGGCGCTACCATGATGGTAGTGGCGCTACCATGATGGTAGTGGCGCTTACTGTGGGGTTAGTGGCGCTACCTCTAGATGGTAGTGTTGCTACCATGATGTAGTGGTGCTTACTGTGGGGGTTAGAGCGCTAAACCATGATGGTAGATGTGCTACCATGATGGTAGTGGTGCTTACAGTGGGCTAGTGGCGCTAACATGATGGTAGTGGGCGCTACCATGTATGGTAGTGGTGCTTACTGGAGGGGTTATGTGGCGCAAACCATGATGAGGTATGGTGCTACCGAGAAGGTAGTGTTGCTTACAGTGGGTTTAGTGGCGCAACCATTGATGTTATGGCGCTACCTATGATGGTAGTGGCGCTACATGTGGTAGTGGCCTACCAATGGATGGTAGTGGAGCTTACTGGTGGGGTTAGTGGCGGCTAACATATGGGTATGTGCTACCATGATGGTAGTGGTGCTTACTGTGGGGTTAGTGGCGCTACCATGATGGTAGTGGTGCTACCATGATGGTAGTGGTGCTTACTGTGGGGTTAGTGGCGCTACCATGATGGTAGTGGCGCTACCATGATGGTAGTGGCGCTTACTGTGGGGTTAGTGGCGCTACCATGATGGTAGTGGTGCTACCATGATGGGTAATGGTGCTTACTGTGGGGTTAGTTGCCTACCATGATGGTAGTGGTGCTACCCATGATGGTAGTGTGCTTATGTGGGGTTCGTGGCGCTACCATGAAGGTATGGCGCTTACCATGATGTAGTGGTGCTTACTGTGGGTTAGTGGCGTCTACCATGTGATGGTAAGTGGTGCTACCAAGAAGGTAGTGGTGCGTACTGTTGGGTTAGTGCGCTACAGATGTAGTGTCTCTACCAGATGTAAGTGGCGCTACCTATGATGTAGTGCGCTACCATGATGGTTGTGATGCTTCCTGTGGGTTAGTGGCGCAACCATATGGGTAGGTGGTGTCACATATGGTAGAGGTGCTTACTGTGGGGTTAGTGGCGCGACCATGATGGTAGTGGCGCTACCAAGATGGTAAGTGCTTACTTGGGGTAGTGGCGCTACCATATGGTAGTTGGTGCTACCATGATGGTAGTGGCGCTTACTGGGGGTTAGTGGCGCACCATGATGGAATGGTGGCTTACTGTGGGTTAGTGGCGCTACCTCTGATGGTAGTGGTGCTACTGTGGGGTTAATGGCCTAACCATGGATGGTAGTGTGCTTACTGCGGGGTTAGTGGCGCTACCAAGATGGTAGTGGCGCTACCTATGATGGTAGTGGCGCTACCATGATGGTAGTGCGCTCACCATGATGGTAATTAGGCGCTACCATGATGGAAGTGGCGCTTACTGTGGGGTTAGTGCGCTACCATGTAATGGTAGTGGCGCTACCATGATGGTAGTGGAGCTTACAGTGGGTTTAGTGCGCTACCATCGACACCACGGTGGTATTGGCGCACCATGATGGTAGTGGCGCTACCGATGATGGTAGAGGGCGCTACTGTGGGGTTAGTGGCGCTAACATGATGGTAGTGGTGCAATCCAGATGGTAGTGGGTGCTTACTGTGGGGTTAGTGGCGCTACATGAAGGTATTGTTGCTTACTGTCAGGGGTTAGTGCGCTACCTATGATGGAGTGGTGCTACCATGATGGTAGTGGCGCTTACAGGGGGGTTAGTGGCGCAACCATGATGGTAGTGGGTGGCTAACCATGATGGTAGTGGTGCTACCAGTTGGGTTAGTGGCGCTACATGATGGTAGTGGTGCTACCGAGATGGTAGTGGCGCTTTACTGTGGGGTTTAGTGGCGCTACCATGATGTAGTTGGTGCTACCAAGATGTAGTGGCGCTTACTGAGGGTTAGTGGCGCTACCTTTATAGGTAGTGAGCTACCATGATGGTAGTGTCGCTGACGCGGGCGATGTGATAAAGGGAGTATATGGTAGTGTGCTACCATGATGGTAGTGGTGCTACCATATGTTAGAGGGCGCTACATTGATGGTAGTGGCCTACCGATTATGGTAGAGGTGCTTACTGTAGGGGTTAGTGCGCTACCATGATTGTAGTGGCGCGAACCATGATGGTAGATAGGCGCTTACAGTGGGTTAGTGGCGCTACCATGAAGACGTGTGCTTACTGTGGGGTTATGGCGCTACATTGTGGTTAGTGGTGCTTACTGTGGGGTTAGAGCGCTACCATGATAAGTGGAGCTACCAGATGTAGTGGCGCTATCATGAGGTAGAGGGCTACCATGATGGTAGTGGTGGCTTCCATGATGTAGTGGGGCGCGACCATGATGGTAGAGGCGCTACATGATGGTAGTGTGCTTACAGTGTGTTAGTGCGCTACCATGATGGTAGTGGCGCAACCAAATGGTAGTGGTGGCTTACTGGTGGGGATAGTGTCGCTAGCATTAAGGTGATGCTCTACCATGATGGTAGTAGGCGCTTACTGTGGGGATAGGGCGCTACATGATGGGCGTGGAGCATTACTGTTGGGTTAGTGGCGCTACCATGGAGGTAGTGGTGCTTACTGGGGGTTAGTGGCGCTAACCATGAAGGTAGTGGGTGCTACCATGATGGTAGTGGCGCTATCCGAAGTAGTGGAGCTACTACCATGATAGGTAGTGGAGCTACCATGATGGTAGTGGCGCTACAGATGATGGTAGTTGGCGCTACCATGATGGTAGTGGGTGCTTACTGTGGGGTTAGTGGCCGCTACATTATGGTAGTGGGCGCTACATGATGGTATTGGTGCTTCCGTGGGGTTTAGTGGCGCTACCATGATGGTAGTGGCGCTTACTGAGGGGTTCGTGGCGCTAACACCGGATGGTAGTGGTGCTTACTGTGGGTGTTAGTGGCGCGACATGAATGTAGTGGCGCTACCATGATGGTAGTGGTGCTTACTGAGGGGTTAGTGGCCGCTAACCATTATGAAGTGGCTCAACCATGATGGTATGGCGCATACAGTTGGGTTAGTGCGCACGATGATGGTCGTGGTGCTTACTGAGGGTTAGTGGCGCTACCATGGTGAGTAGTGGTGCTTTACTGTGGGGTAGTGGCGCTACCATGATGGTAGTAGTGGCGCAACCATGATGGTAGTGGCGCTATCAAGATGGGTAAGTGGTACTACCATGATGGTAGTGGTGCTACCATGATGGTAGTGGCGGCTACCATGATGGTATGCGGCAAACCATGATGGAAGTGGAGCTTACATTGGGGTTTAGTTGGGCGCTTACCAATGATGGATAGGCGCTACCATGATGAGTAAGTGGTGCTTACTGTGGGTTAGTTGCGCTACCGGATGTGGAGTGGCGCTACCATGATGGTAGTAGGCGCTTACTGTGGGGTTAGTGGCGCTACCATGATGGTCGGTGGTGCTTTCCCTGTGGGGTTAGGGCCTACCATGGTGGTATGGTTGCTTACTGTGGGTTAGTGGCGCTACCATATGGTAGTGGTCAACCAATGATGGTAGTGCGCTATCATGATGGTATGTGGAGCACCATGATGGTATGGTGCTACCATGATGGTAGTGGCGCTACCATGATGGGTGATAGCGCTACCGTATGATGGTATTGGTTGCTTACAGTGGGGGTTAGTGGCGCTACCATGAGGAAGTGGCGCTACCAGATGGTAGTGGTGGCTTACTTGGGTTAGTCGCTAACCATGAGGCAGTGGCGCATACTGTGGGGTTAGTGGCGCTACCATGATGGTAGTGGTGCTTACTGTGGGGTTAGTGGCGCTACCATGATGGTAGTGGCGCTACCATGATGGTAGTGGTGCTTACTGTGGGGTTAGTGGCGCTACCATGATGGTAGTGGTGCTACCATGATGGTAGTGGTGCTACCATGATGGTAGTGGCGCTTACTGTGGGGTTAGTGGCGCTACCATGATGGTAGTGGCGCTTACTGTGGGGTTAGTGGCGCTACCATGATGGTAGTGGCGCATACCTATGATGGTAGTGGTCTTACTGCGTGGGGTTAGGCGCTACATGAGTGGTAGTGGCTTAATATTTAGCAACCATGATGGAAGTGTAGCTCACTGTGGGGTTAGAGCGCTACCAGATTTGGTAGTGGGCGCTACCATGATGGTAGTGAGGTGCGTTACTGTGGGGTAGTGCGCTACAGATGGAGTGAGCTACCATGATGGTAATGGTGCTACCATGATGGTAGTGGTGCTTACTGTGGGGTTAGTGGCGCTACCATGATGGTAGTGGCGCTACCATGATGGTAGTGGCGCTTACTGTGGGGTTAGTGGCGCTACCATGATGGTAGTGGCGCTACCATGATGGTAGTGGCGCTTACTGTGGGGTTAGTGGCGCTACCATGATGGTAGTGGCGCTACCGTGATGGTAGTGGCGCTTACTGTGGGGTTAGTGGCGCTACCATGATGGTAGTGGTGCTTACGTGAGGGGTTAGTGGTGCTTACCATATAGTAGTGTGCTAACCATGATGGTGAGAGGTGCTTACGTGGGGTTATGCGGGCTTGGCCATGATGGTAGTGGCGCTACCATGATGGTAGTGGCGCTTACTGTGGGGTTAGTGGCGCTACCATGATGGTAGTGGTGCTTACTGTGGGGTTAGTGGCGCTACCATGATGGTAGTGGTGCTACCATGATGGTAGTGGCGCTTACTGTGGGGTTAGTGGCGCTACCATGATAGTGGCGCTTA